TCTTAGATACCGTTCGACGATGAGTAATTTAAGTCGGCAAATGACCCAAAATTCCAAAAAAAAATTTGGTAAATATTTACCGATGGAGCTGAGAGACGAGAGGCCGACGAGAAGCGATGGCAAGGTGGAGACAAACGATCGGTTATGAAAATTTATGAGACTTTCAAATTAGAGGTAAGAATTTTTTAGATTTCGAGATCCATGACTGTAAAAATTTATGAAATTTCGAGATCGGAGGTGAGAGAGCTGCAACCCTAAGGTCTCTAATCTTCAATCTCCGAGATTTTTGACATCGTGAGGAGCAGACTGGAGAGTTTCGCCGACGGGAGAGAGTGGAACAACTCCCAATCTGTTCTCATACCCTTTCCGATTTTTTAATTTTTTTTAATTTTTAATGGTTAATAATAATATTAATATATATATATATATATATGTATATATATATAGGGATTGGTTCAAATGTGGCCGCTTTTTTAAAGTGAGGACGTGAGACTCATTTTTAGCCACAAGAGTTTCGTACATCATGTGTGGCCAAGATTTACTCCTTTTTTTTATTATTTTAATTATTTAAATATTATTTTGACCCGTTGACTTCTGGCATTGACCGTTGACTTCCGGTGTTGACTTCTGGCGAAATCCGTTGACTTTCGGTGAAAATCCGTTGACTTCCGGCGTTGACCGTTGACTTCCGGCATTGACCGTTGACTCCGGCGTTGATCGTTGACAACTAACCTTCCAACTAGCTAGGTTAGTTCTCTGTAGTTGCTAGGCTAATTCTCTGTAGTTGCTAGGTTAGTTGTCTGTAGTTGCTAGGTTAGTTGTCTGTAGTTGCTAGGTTAGTTCTATGTAGTTGCTAGGTTAGTTCTCTGTAGTTGCTAGATTAGTTCTATCTTGTTGCTAAGTTAGTTCTAAATAGTTGCTAGGTTTTTTTTTTTTTAAAACAAACAACGTACCATACGGGGACAACAAGCGTCTCCGTCTTCGGGTTAAACCCGGAAGTATACTTGAACACCCTAGTTGGGCATCCACACACGTGACTCGAAGTCTTAAGCCAAACCTCGTTATAGTCCTCGGGGAGATGAAAAGAGACTAGGAGGTGGTTGAAATTATACCACTTAGACGAAACTCTGCTCTTAAAACCCAGTTTACCTAATCCAGCAGATATATCTCGGGGAGCAGGGATAGCATAGGTAAACTTAAAAACCAGGGTGTTAGCTAACTTACCGGCAAGGGTGTCAGCTTCGGCTTGAGTAAATCGGGCCTTCACCTTGTTTCCCTCCAAACGAATGATGGTCCCGCAAGCATGCTCATAATCCCCGTCAAAGGTGAACTCCTTAGGTGTTGGCCGCGGGGCGCCCGAGCCGCCATCTCTTTTCCCCGTAATGGCCTCGCGGAAGGAGAGCGAGCCAGAGGAGGTGCCCGGAAGTGGTGATGGCCCGGCTGTAGCAGGGTTGGCCATGGAGGTGCTCGTCGGAGGGGGCCCATTTGGGGATTGTCCGGAAGGATAGGCCGTGGACGTCTTGCTTGGGCCCGCAATAACCACACCATCTTCACGCATATTCAAGTCGCCCGATTCAGGGTCTCCGACAGCAGATGTGACTATTCCGACGTGTTGATTGGTCAGAGGAGATGAAGATGGTCGGGGTCCGAGAATTCCGGTCGAAAGAATCAATTCCCGGACATCCCCGGATGGGTTACCGTCATTTTCTGAATTTTTGGTGGCCGGGCCGTCGCCGGCGCAGGTGCCGGCGAGGAGATGGATGGCGCCTGTCGGATGGTTGTAGGCGGAGGGGGTGATCTGATGATTGACACCGACTTGTAAGGTTGGCTGTGGATTAGCGGAAGGGTGCTGTCAGGTATCGAGGTTGGGTTAGGAGTTGGTAAGCAGGGAGGCGGGCTGAGGGGTAGTGGGCTGGGATGGGTCAGTTTGGGATGTGGGCTGAGGGATGGTGATAGGTTGGGCAGGGCCCAAGAAGAGGAAGGCCCAAATAAGGGCTAAGTTGGATCATGTGGGGGGAATGAGAAGAGCTTGAGTCCTTTGGGTCGTGGGTTGAGCAAAGGTGCTGGGCTGTTGGATTCAGGTCCGTGGCAGCGATTTTGTGGTTGGGTCGAGAAAGGATTACCTGGTCTTTATGATTGGGCCCAAGAGGTGGGACAGAGAATGCGGACGAAATGGCCTCAGGCAAAGGGTTGGTGATCTGACCCAAAGAGCCAATGTGGCCCAAAACATTTCTAGTATGCTGAGGGTTGGCCACGTTGCCCCTCAATATGCCAAATCCTACCCTCGTTTAAAGGTGGAGGATTGAGGAGGGAGTGCTGACCAGTCAACGTGGCGGCGGGGGTCCTCTTCTCCGGCGAAGGTAGTTTTAGCGATGGGGCAAACGACACGGAAACAAGGGGCAGACTATTATTTCCGATTTGTTGGCCTCGATTTTCTGTTCTCGGTGAAATAGGGTTCTCTGACTGGCCCTCCGTCGCGCCGATTTGAGAGGATGAGGGCCCATTTGACGTGACTGCCGTTAAGATGGCTTGATCTTTTTCCGCCAAGAGCGTCACTGAGGGTCGGCCAATGGATTGAGGCTTCTTCTTATTTTTATTTTTTTCGATTTTTCCTTGCTCTGTGTGCTGAGACTCGAGCTTTGGATGATGACCGGATTCAATAATTTTACCTTCTTCTATATTTTGGCTTCCTCCTTCTTCCATTTTTTTTGGTTTTGTTTTTTGCGAGGAAGATTGAGAGGGCCTCTCGAAATTCCGGCTGTGTCATGAAGCTCTCCACCTCCGAAGGTGGAATGGCAGTTGGGAGTTGTTGGTTGGCCGGAAAGGTGAACGGGGTGGACATGTTTGGATGAAAACTGAGATTAGATGACTGAAGAGATTAAACAAAGGGTGAAAAATATGGTAAAAAAGAATAAAAATAATATGGTAACTATATGAGCTGGCCGAGGGCCGGCCGGAGCCGGCACTGGCTTGCTGGAAACTGGAGGACTGGACCGGAACAGAGAGCTAAGGCAAAAAAGGGGTTGAATATGGGTGAAGGTTTTCTAGAGAGAAGCGGGAGAATTTTTCTAGAGAGAGAAAGAGAATGGGAGGTTCATTTTTCTAAGTAGTTGCTAGGTTAGTTGTCTCATCTTGCTAGGTTAGTTCTCTGTAGTTGCTAGGTTAGTTGTCTGATGTTGCTAGGTTAGTTGTGTCTAGTTGCTAGGTTAGTTATGTCTAGTTGCTAGGTTAGTTGTCTGTTGTTGCTAGGTTATTTCTATCTTGTTGTTAGGTTAGTTATGTCTAGTTGCTAGGTTAGTTGTCTGTTGTTGCTAGGTTAGTTCTATCCTGTTGCTAAGTTAGTTTTAAGTAGTTGCTAGGTTAGTTCTAAGTAGTTGCTAGGTTAGTTGTCTGTTGTTGCTAGGTTAGTTCTCTGTAGTTGCTAAGTTAGTTCTCTGTAGTTGCTAAGTTAGTAGTTGCTAGGTTAGTTCTCTGTAGTTGCTAGGTTAGTAGTAGCTAGGTCAGTTCTCTGTAATTGCTAGGTTAGTTGTCTGTAGTTGCTAAGAGTTGGTCTCATTTTAAGAGTTGGACGCATTTTAAGAGCTGGTCTCATTTGATCCGCCCCCTATATATATATATATATATATATAGGGATTGGTTCCAATGCATCCCATTATTTAAAGTGAGAATGTGAGACTCATTCCTAGCCACAAGATTTAGATCTTGATTTAAATAATAATTTTTTATTTTTATTATTTAATTCTTTATTTTTAATTATTTAAATATTATTATGACCATTGACCGTTGACTCCGGCGTTGACCGTTGACTTCCGGTGTTGACTTCCGGCGAAAATAGTTGACTTCCGGCGTTGACCGTTGACTTCCGGCGTTGACCGTTGACTCCGGCGTTGACTTCCGACGTTGACCGTTGACCATTTGTCTTTTGTTATGTTATTTCTTTCTTGTTAGGTTAGTTGTGTCTTGTTGCTAGGTTAGTTGTTTGCTGTTGCTAGGTTAGTTATTTGTAGCTGCTATGTTAGTTGAGTTTTGTTGCTAGGTTATTTTTTTCTTGCTGCTAGGTTAGTTGTCTTTTGTTGCTAGGTTAGTTCTTTCTTGCTGCTAGGTTAGTTGTCTGATGCTGCTAGGTTAGTTGTCTTTTGTTGCTAGGTTATTTCTTTCTTGCTGCTAGGTTAGTTGTCTTTTGTTGCTAGGTTATTTCTTTCTTACTGCTAGGCTAGTTGTTTGATGCTGCTAGGTTAGTTGTCTTAAGTTGCTAGGTTAGTTATCTGTAGTTGCTAGGTTAGTTGTCTTTTGTTGCTAGGTTAGTTCTTTCTTGCTGCTAGGTTAGTTGTCTGATGCTGCTAGGTTAGTTGTCTTTTGTTGCTAGGTTATTTCTTTCTTGCTGCTAGGTTAGTTGTCTTTTGTTGCTAGGTTATTTCTTTCTTGCTGCTAGGTTAGTTGTCTTTTGTTGCTAGGTTATTTCTTTCTTACTGCTAGGTTAGTTGTGTTTTGTTGCTATGTTAGTTGTCTTTGTTGCTAGTTTAGTTGTTCTTTCTTGCTGCTAGGTTAATTGTGTTTTGTTGCTAGGTTAGTTGTCTGATGCTGCTAAGTTAGTTGTGTTTTGTTGCTAGGTTAGTTGTCTGATGTTGCTAAGTTAGTTGTATTTTTTTTTTTATAAAAAAATTGTAACCCATAGGATTTGAACATGGTACCTCATGGAGGTAAGACAAGCAATGCAACCACTACACCACTCAAGGTTGAGTGTCTTTTGTTGCTAGGTTATTTATTTCAATACAACGGGCCAATGCCGGAAGTCAACGGTCAACGCCGGAGTCAACGGTCAACTATTTTATTATTTAATTAATGTATATTTTAATTGATTTTGATCTAGACAAAATGAGTGGCTAAGATTGAGTCTCACGTACTCATTTTAAGGAGTGGTCTCATTGGATCCACCCTCTATATATATATATATATAGGTAGTTGTGAGGAAAGAGAGAGTTTTCTTAAGGAGTGTAGTGAAAGAAAAAAACAATGAGGGACTGAAAGGAAAATAGAAGTGTGATTGAAGATTTATCTCCAATTAATCAGTTTTTATTCTATTTATTTAATTTTTTTTATTCATGAATATAATAATAAAAAGCCATCGGGAGTACGTCGTGCTGCCGTGCTTGTACACCAAATTTTATGTTTGTTCCATTTCCATCTCCTTCGTTTGTACGAGCTCCTCGAAAGAAATTCGTTGTTTTGTAAAGTATTCATCCGTCCATGGTTAGATCTGAGTTAAGGAATCTGTTTCTCCCTCCTTCTGTACTCTCCTAATCATCAGATCAACCCTTTCTTATGCAACTTTTTTAGCTCTCTCTCTCTCTCTCCCTATTATCTTTTTTCTTCTGTTTTTCCTCGTTTATTTTCTTCGACTACTTTTTCTTCACATAATGGTTCTCCGTGAAAAATTAGACTAGTTAGTGGGATTTTGTTATCTTTTGGGTGTATACGCCGAGTTAATTCTTCGCGTTGGCAGCCGAATTCTGATTGCCTCATGAGGAAGAAGCTCGATACTCGCTTTCCCGCTGTAAGCTTCACTCCCTTCTTACTTCTCTTTTTATTTGTGCAATCTGACAATTGGATACGTGAATTCATAAATGAGCTCAAATTTTATTATGTTTTTTATTTTTTTAAAAAAATCTCTTCATTGTTTCAAGGTTTATGTTAAGTTTTATTTATCAACTGTGGGTTGCAATTTGCTTCTGTCATGGTGTTGCTTTGATCCCTTTCTATTTGAACTTTTCCATGTAAAGAGTGAGGGCAGTAAATGAGTTTTTAAGTTTGACAACATAGCATCACGTTCATTTAACTGAGGATGTGAACTTTTCATCACAAGTACAGCCTCAAAGTTTGCTCGTTGTTACATTGAATTTATTGTTTTTCATATAGCGGCAGTGTCTATATCTCTTTGAAGTTTATTGCTCCCTCCATCACAAAAAGATAGTCCACGTTTTCATTGAAAATAAAGCATCAGAGGAAATGAGTACAAACACAATTGTGAATACGGTTAACTAAACTTTTCATTTACCGTGGAACAACTTTGAGCCTATCTTTTCGGGACATGAGTATGTTGTTTAGTTGCAATTCCGCTTATAGGGAATCACTTTTGGGTGTGATTAAAGTACATGTAGATGAAAATGTGCAGGCATGTGTTAAAAAACAAAATTTATGATTCCAAAGATAAATTATTGGTTTCTGGTGATTTTGTTTTCCTAGTATTGGCAATATTGTTTAAATGTATACGTTGTAGCTAATAGGAGCACAATTAATTTTACAACGCAAGATCTACTTATAGTTGAATAACAATACCATTTGTAACATACAAAGACACATGGGATAAGGCCACTATGTTATTGGGTGAGGAAAACTGAAGTGTCTACAAAAAGAATTATAGAGTCGTGAAATTTGGAGTAAAGGTTTTATAAGTTGAATTTCGAAGTATTATTCTTGTTTAGTGCTACCTCACTAGACTCCAAGATTAAACACAGTAGTTGATGTTTAATTCTCGTAGTTCAAGGACTTCTGCAGTATAGGTTGTATAGGGTCCTAGCAGCCTAAATCACTCTACAGATGTAGAGGTTTCCTACTAAAAAATTCCAGTTTTGTTTTACTAGAGAAACATTCTAAGCCTAAATATGTGTTTGTCTAAACTAGATACGAATTTCATTTATTTCTAATCACCAAGTACATCTCATTTTCTTTCCCAAGAAAAAGAATTAATGACTGATTCGGCTTAAACATTTTCTCACGGATAAGTGATATTGTGATTTGGAACACCAAACGTGATGACAGTTTATTGGCATGGTTTCTACATTAATTCATGGAGACATTTTATTGTAAATCATTATGCTTGACAAGTGTTGTTCTCACTTATCTCTTCTTATGACAACTAAATCCCTGGTTTTTCTATAAAAAGGGTTTACACAGATGTGTTTTTCTCAGGCTCGCATTAAGAAGATCATGCAAGCTGATGAAGACGTTGGGAAGATTGCAATGGCAGTGCCAGTTTTAGTGTGTACGTAATATACATATTAGTCAGCTGCCGGGCTTGTGGTTTTAGTTTTTGTTATAGAAGCTTAATTGTTCTTTTCGGACATATTAATGCAGCTAAAGCGTTGGAATTATTTCTCCAAGATCTTTGTGATCGTACATATGACATAACTGTGCAAAGAGGGGCAAAGACCGTTAATTCGCTGCATCTGTGAGTAGAAAGAAATTTGTCGGCTTAATCCTATATCTTCAGTTATTCAGTTTAAGTGATAACCATCTTGGCCTTATGTTCTATTTTCCGCTAGTACGAAATCCCTGGAAGAATTCTAGAACAGTTTGACCTGTAATCTAGTAATTTTAAATGCATTTTTAGCTTGTAATAAATCTGGTTTGCAACATTCATGCTTCATTTTGTATTTTGTAGATTTCATAATTTTTATTGCTACGAGTATTTTATAATGTGAGGACCACATACACACGAGGGGAAAAAAAGAAAGATGAAGATAAAAGTTATAACAATTAGAGAATAATATTAATATGGAAATAATAAGAGGAAAACCTACTTTTATGTGTGACGCTTATTGAACTTATAATTTCTATGCCTTTATATAGTATCTTTCTCAATGAATGTCGTGGTCCACCTTCTGAAGAATTTTATATATTACTAAAATTGTTTCAAGCAAATGTTGCAATCATTTTACTGAACTTCTACTTCAGTTAACTTTGCTATTGGCTTTCCTTTCCCACATCCAATTTCCATGGGCCTTATCCTTCTCAGAGAGCCAGCTCGATTCTTCCATCCTCTTCTCATAATCTCATAATAATCTCGTCGATACTTTGATGTGTCTCTTGGAGCTTACTTCCCCATTGATGCTATTTTGAGATTTTATGGGGTAAGCGTTTACTAAGCTGAAGATTTGGTTTGCAGATGAGTGTGACAGGATTATCCTGACTAGGAAACTGGATGCCTGTAGTTGTTGTAATTTGGACGACATCATTTATGGATTTTCTCTTTGGATTTTCCACTCCAGAAGATATCAGTGTACAAACATCTTTTGCAGAAATTTATACCAAAAATGATGCTATTATCAAGGGACATACTAATAGAAGAAAATATAATGTCTCGCGTTCCAGTATATAGATAAACACAATCACATATATTAAATTATAATGGATTGTAATAACACGTGGTACATCTCACTCCTATGCAGTGTCTTTTCCTCACTATTTTTCCTTGAATTATAATTTAGGAAAGAGAGATTGTAAAATCACTCCATAATAAGGTCCAGTTCAGAGTCCATGAGTATTTCATTAGAATTTTTCTTAATCAGGTGTAGAATTGTAATGTGTAGATTTAAGTATGTTTGATTGATGGAGTTCGGATCACTTAGTTTTCGTGGTTTGTGCATTTGGTAGAAACTTTAGAGTTTATTCCGTCAGGGTCAGGAGAATTTGTTGTACGTTTGTACGGCTGGCCCGTCTGTCATGGTGAATAGTTACAAGGTTTATAGGTCATGTCATCTATTGCCAACATGGGAATTGCCTTCTGCAAAAGGATGTGTTATACATCGAGAAGATGCTTGGTGACTAGTTTAAAATATGGTCTGTTTAAATGGTTTGGGAAGCTAAGTGAACTGTCAGCATTAGATGCAACAGTACCCCAATTTCTGTTTCTTTGAGAAGACAAGAATCAAGTTGAAATACTGAATTCCTTCTCATGTTTTTTTTTATAAGAATTAATTATATTATTTTATGTTTCTACTGGAGCTCTGAAATTAAAATTCCACAATTCTTGATTGAGTGGTGCATATGATCATGAGAAGCGTGTGAATGCATCTCATGTTTGTATAGAAATGAGACTACTCGTGATAGTTTTACTTTGAAGTTGTTACACATTCTGTCCAAATTTCTTGGATAGACGGGAACACGCTAAGCAGTGATTTTTTTTTTTTTAATATTTTTCTTTTTTATTTTTTTGTGATTCTCTTTTATGGTTTTGTGATGACTGTATGTTGGGGTTGGGGTGTTGCTAATGCATAACTGTCAACAAGTTTAGCAAACTTGAAGACATAATTTTGTGCAAGTTGTATGAATGAACAAACTGTGTAAATTATATGGATCGTCAGATAATGCACCTATGAATATTGTGTTGATTACTGTATATCTGTTGCAGCTTCTAAGATTCTATCCTGTATGCAGGAAACATTGTGTGCATAGTTATAACGTGTTTGACTTTCTTAAGGAAGTTGTGAGCAAAGTTCCGGACTATGGTCACTCTGATACCACAGCTGACATCACGAAGAGACGGTATTCATTCTTTTTCCGCCTTCTTTACCTCATTTAGTTTCGGAAAGATGACCATTAAATTTCAACATTTCGGCAGGAAAATAGTCGCCAATGAAACCAATGACAGTGATGAAGAGTTGAAAAGGAACAGCATGGTAAACTCTTCCACGTGAAATCTATTAATATATAATAGCAATAGGGATTTACCTTAAATAGAATGGAAATTCCCGCTTAAAATTTTCAGAGTTTCTATTGTTAGTATTTCTTTTAGTAAAACTAGTACGAATCCCGTGCGATGCACGGGTAAGAGATATTCATTAGTATTTATAAATTAAAAATGATTATTAGATAATATTTATAAATTAAAAATATTGAATCAATATGTAATACGTTTACCTATATTAATTTATTGAAAATATTATATAAATTTTATATCGTGCAAAATTACATAAAATATGTCAATTTAATTAGTATACAATCTGGTGCACGTAACTGATAATAAATTACATTATATTTATTTCAAAATAAGTGTCATTTTAAAATATTTATTCAAAAATTCGATTGGACTACAATGTGATTCCATAAAATAATTCTTTTGGTAAAATTTTATCATATGTTTAAAAATCTATGTGAATATAAGTACAATTATAAAACTTATAATGTTCATTAATTAAAATGAATTTAATTTTGTATAAACTATCAAAATAAAACTTTGTTGACACGTAAGTTATGAATAATTATTTATTTGACTTTTAAATTTGAATTATACGATAAATTTCCTTATATATATATTCCCTTATATATAAATTCCCTTATATACATATTATCTCACAATTTTCTAGAGTTGTTGTCGGTTAATTTTTAAATTTTATTAACCAATATTTGTTCAAAGATGTTTATAATTTTCAAGAGGAATACATACCATTTTGTCAAATTATCATTAGAATTTTTTGGCAAGTTATTATAGAAATATGCTAAATTTTGAGAAACATATTACCTTGATTTTATAACAAATCAACCTAAAATTCGACTTTCATACCCATAAAAAAAAATCATTTTTCAATATCTTTTTGTTCGAAAAAGATACATTTATCCTTTAAAAGAGTTGGATTGCGTAGAGTTTTCATGGTGTTTTGCTTGATGAGTCTCATGATTTCTTATCAATACAGAATATCTATTTGTACTTTATGTTTTGCTTGATTTTTTGATGAGTGGGGATACAATAACAACTCAGAGTGTGTATGTTATTTATAGGCAAATTAAGTGTTAATTTAATAGGTGAAAAAAAATATCTCGATATTAGATGATTGGAGCGTTAGAATGATATTATCTAAATATTTGAAATGATATTCGCGCACATTATTAAAATTTGGAATGATTTGATATTTATCCATCAAATTAAACAAAAATTATATTTGGTAATATCTCTTTATTTTAGTATAAAAAAATAAATAGGTTCACTTATGCTTTTTTTTCCTAGGGTTGCGATATTAATACATAAGCTTAGCCATTTCAAAATCTTTTTAGATTAATAGTTTAGTTATCCACAAATTTATCAAATAAGTGTTTGGTGAAGATTTATCAAAATCTTTTTAGATTAGTAGTTAATTATCCACAGATTCCATCATGAGTTATCCACAAATTATTGTTCCAATATTATCTCTACACCATTAATTTTGAATTCAAATTGTGAGTAAATAAAAAACTACACTATTATTGTTTTCAAGCTTTCTATAAATAGAATGTCAAAGGTATTATTTATTTGGTCAAAAGTTTCCAAAAATGATTTAACCAACAACCTTTTTATATATTGATAGATGGCGGCTACTTTCAAAATTCGAATTAAAATTCAAAAAATTTGTTATTTGAGAAATATATTGTTAAAATAAAGTTTTAAAAAAGGTTTTAAGAAGCAAGACACCGTGCATCGCACAGGATACTCACTAGTGAAGAAAATTACAAAAAATAAGTAAATATACAAAATCTCGACTAAAAAATTTGCCCGATACATGTACTGAAGGTTGCACGTTTATCTATCAGGAAACATGCAACACTAGCAGCAGCAGTGGAAGAGGAAGAGGAAGGGGCAGGGGAAGAGGACGAGGACGTGCCAGCAGAGCAAGTGAACTTCACCGAGAAGTGGTTGAACCCATTGGCTCAACTTCCATTCTCCCGAGCATCAAACAAATCCCAATCCCTTGTTCAATGGATAACAGTAATAATATCAATATCATCCCCTTAGAAACAAAGGAAGAGAGCAACAAAGATATTGAGTCCAGTAAATTCAGATTCAACGCCGGAGATGAAAAATCCGAAAAAACGGCTGTTGATGAGATTACCGAAATGGATAGGATGGCCATAGACCCCTTTCATCTCCCGCAGCTCGGCGAGGATGATGAGGATTATGACGAGGAAGGGTAGTTAGCTGTAACAATCAAGTAATTAGGGTAAACGGCAGAAAAAAGGGCTTGCAAGATCTGCCTTGAATGCTAATTTGTATGCTCGGATGGCCACCCGTTTACTTTCCGCGTCTTATGTATTGATGTAATCGACTTAGCGCATGGATAAGTGGCAATCCTTTTTATTCACAAAATGTATCTCAAGCTTTGATGAACAAGAAGAATAGGTCTCTGTTACGGGCTTCCCGCATGTTTGGTTTGGTTGATAAATCCCTCAGTATATATTTCAAATAAAAGCGGAATATTATAAGCCTTAGTGCCAATTTTTGAGGTCTCAATCATTTTTTTTTTCTTTTTTTTTTTTCCAAATAGCAAACAACCAAATTGATAACTGAAGAACGAAATACACAAGATTTTCAGTAATCAACTGATTACACCCAACAACTTAACCCACAACAAAGATCAAGAGCAAGGAAGATGAGGGACCTCCATTGTCCATAAGAAAGATACAAGAAGAAAAAAGAGCAAGCAATACATAATAGGAGCCACAACTAATGGGGGATCAGCCATGCAATTCAGTAAACTGGCCAAGGAAGGTGACTTCATACAACAACAAAGATAGACTCCACATGATGGCTTTGCAGTCTGCTTCCATCTTACTCTCAGCTTTATCACATGTCACTTCCCAATGATGAAGTAGCAGCCCCTCCTTGAAGACCAAGCAGTCTAACCCGACCGAGCTAGTCAAAGACTAATTAGCACTGACACTCATTACAAGGTGTCCGACCCTCAGTTGAGCTACATCCAAATTGGAAACACACCCTGGGAAAGACCTCAACAATTATTGTAAGTTCTGAGGTTTGGCAGCAAATCGACGAACCTTCTTCTGTCAGGATCAGACATCAAAGAGATAATTAAGGGAAGTCTGTCTAAGTTTACTTAAATTAGTTTTGATCATTTCGTTTATTGGTTTATTCTTATGCACGTTTTATTATGGCAGGTCAAAAGAAAAGACCGTGAATCACTCCATTTATGATCACCTTCCATGTGCACTTACTTACCATAATGCGCGAGAACTGAATTGAGCAACCTGGACTTTCCAAAATATGAGATGACTTGGCTTGGAAGATAAAGGAAGAACTTACCATTTGAGGATGTGGATAAAGGGACGGCGAGACCACGTTGAGGAATACTTTTTTTTTTTTTTTTTGATGACTTGAATATTTCTGATTGAAATAATTTTTGTGAAGATTCTTGTTTTGTTGAATGATTTTAGTATGTGAGATTATCATTGTTGAGGGAAAAACTACAGAGTGTTCGGAGGTTCATTCTGTTGTCAGTTTGAGGGATTCAAACATGAAAAACCACGAGGGACTCGTGGTCGGATAAGTAGTAGTGCAATTCATTGTTCAAGTAGAGTGTAGAGGGAGTCTATACTGTAAATCCTTGAAGAATGAGTGAGTTGATTGCATTAATAAAAGAGATCCGAAGGGAGATTGGGACGCTCTCCTGAAGGTTCAAATTTGTTTATACTGCTTCCGCAATTCATTTGAATCTTTGCTTTATTCTATTTATCTTATTCGAGTGTAACTCTGAATACTTGGGAAATAAGTATCAAATTTCAATTGGCACTAGAGCGGGTTTTCGTATACTTTGCGAAAGATCTAAGGAAGTGTGGATAGGGCAATCATGAATCAGGAAATTGGATCGATGTCTAGGCCTCCGCAATTGGATGGTTCAAATTATTCCTACTGGAAATCAATGATGACGATCTTTCTAAGATCTCTGGGAAAAGGAGCTTGGGAAAGTGTTGAAAATGGCTGGGAACATCCAGTCACAGCGGCTGCACCAGATCAAGGGAAATAATCTTCATCGACTACTGTACCTAAACTAAAAGATATCTGGACTGAAGTTGAAAGATTGCAAGAAGAAGCGAACTATCGAGCCTTGTACGCCATCATGATGGCAGTCGATCAAACTAGACACAAAATGATAGTTCAATGCAAGACAACGAAAGATGGCGGATTCTACAACGTCAGTTTGAAGGTTCAACGGCAGTTAAAGCTTCGAGACTTCAACGTGTAACCCTTGAATTTGATGAAATCAGAATGAAGGATGAAGAAACGATCGATATGTACTATGCCAGATTTTGTGATCTGGTAAATCAAAGTGGAAGGTTAGGAGAAGAGATCTCTGAAAATCGTCAAGTACAGAAGATTATGTAGACTGTTGCACCTAGATTCAGAGAGAAGATTACGGCTCTCGAGAGCTTTCAGAGAATTGCGCCTCTTGATGTTGATGAACTTCTTGGTGATTTGAGATCGTTCGAAATCAACAACAATTATGACAAGGTAAAAAACAAGGGATTTGCTCTCAAAGCTGTTGTAGTCGAGGAGAAGGAAGACAGTGATGCAGAGGAAGGTTCAATGGTTGATGACAGCAAGTTGAAAGAGGTTCTTGCATTAATTGCAAGGAACCACAACAAGATGAGTCAAAAACAATATAAGAACAAGTTCGCTGGAAAGAAGTTCAATAATCCCAGCAAGATCACGGCTCAAGACAAGAAAAACAGTGTGTTTCCATCAAAACCAGACACACAACGGATTGAGAAGGACCAGTGTCGTGAATGTCCTGGATTTGGGCATTTTCAGTATGAATGCGCCAGTCTAAAAAAGAAGAGTAAGTCACTTAAAGCCACTTGGGAACCTTCATCACACACAAGCAACATGGCAATTCATTCTTCTGTAAAGAATTTTATGTGTCTCACTACCTCTCATGCCATTACAAAGTTTGAACAAGGCATAGAAGAATCTGAAACATCAGAGGATGAAGCCAACTGCAATATGTGTAGTGATCCAGTTCACTTATTAGCCATGGAGAAATGTGCACAAACATCGGAGGCTATGAAGAAGCTTCAAGGTGAGGTTCAAAAGCTGACCAAGATGAATAGGACGATAATGGACAAGTCCTCCTCTTCTCTTACCTATCAAAAAGAGAATGGGCTGGACACCGCAAAGGCTAGAACCTCCATTCTTGAAAGCATTGTCAAACTATCTAAGCAAGATGGACTGGAGAAGTCTCAGACGATTGAATGTCTGAGGTCTGAACTATTTTCAACCCAAAGACTACTTGCTGACAGAAACAAAGAAATCTTGTTGCTCAGAAAAGAACTCAGCCGAATCACGAATGAACATGAAAGTCTGGAAAACAAGCTTAGTGTGAAATCAGCTGAACTGCAACGCACTACTGAAGCTGTTAGGAAGTTGAATAAAGGGAAAGCGGATTTGAATGAACTACTTTTCATGGGAAGGAAGTATGGTGACCTCACCAGGGTGGGGTACACTAGGAAGGTTGAGAGTCCTGAACGACCTTCTGAAGCTTCAAACAGAAACAAACATCATGGTCTAAGATTCCCTAACAAATCCGGTGTTGAAGGTACAAGTCTTCATGGAAAACCTTCGAGAGAATTGTATGGCATGTTTGTCAAAAGCACTGTAAGTAAACTCTCTTCACCTAAAAACTCAGTGAACGTTCTTGCACCAACCCGTGAATCTGTAAGTAAATCTACTCGTAGTTTTGTATCCATTTGTCATTATTGTGGCATAACTGGTCACATCAGACCCAAATGCTACAAGATGCAGCATGATCTTTATACCGGCAGGGTGTTTAACTGGAATCATTTCGGTGTACCTGTGCACGTTCATGCTGTAAGTTCCCATAAAAATGTTTTCAAAAAACGACAAGTCTGGGTTGCTAAAAATTCTTTTAAATGTTTCGCTTCAGTACTGTCTCTCAGAACCTCACTTGAAAGAAAATGGTATCTTGATAGTGGGTGTTCACGACACATGACTGGTGAACTAGCATACTTGTCGAATGTAAAAACTGGTTCCAATGGGGAAGTCACATTTGGAGATGGTGTGAGCAACAAGGTAATTATGACGGGGTGCTTGAACCTGGGAGGTCTTCCTATATTAGATGATGTGTTACTTGTAAATGATTTAAAGGCTAACCTTCTGAGTCTGAGCCAACTTTCTGATCAAGGTCCAAGTGTCAGTTTCTCGCGTGATAAGTGTTTTGTGAAAAATAATGAAGGTACATGCGTTATTACTGGATCTCGATCAACTGACAATTGCTATCTTGTTGACTTAAATGAAAAATGTTTTCAAGCAACTGTTAGTGAATCTGAAATCTGGCATCAACGCTTAGGTCATATTGGATACTCTCACTTGGTCAATATATCTAATGCAGGTGTGGTTCACGGAGTTCCAAAAATTGTCATGAAGGAGCTACCAATTTGTGAACCGTGTCAACTTGGAAAGCAAACGCGAGCTTCACACAAAAACCTGAACCATATTGCTTCAAAGCAAGTTCTGGAGTTGCTTCACATGGACTTGATGGGACCAATTCAGATTGAGAGCTATCAAGGTAAGAAGTATATTTCGTGTGTGTAGATGATTTCTCTCGCTACACTTGGGTTGATTTTTTGCGTGAGAAATCTGATACCTTCATTGTCTTTAAAACTCTTTGCCATAAACTTGAAAATGAAAAGGGATTTCCCATAACCAGAATTAGGAGTGATCATGGCCGTGAATTTGAGAATAGTGAATTTTCAGTCTTTTGTACTTCACACGGTATTTTTCATGAGTTTTCGGCCTCGAAGACACCTCAACAAAATGGGGGTTGTCGAAAGGAAGAATCGTACCCTTCAAGAAATAGCAAGGGTGATGTTAACCTCCAAGAAGATCTCTCATCGATGGTGGGCAGAGGCTATCAACACAACATGCTACCTAGTGAATAGAGTGTACGTTCGTCGAGGTATGGGGATGACTTCTTACGAGCTTTGGAAAGGTAAGAGTCCCAACCTTAGTCATCTTCATGTATTTGGGTGTAAGTGCTTTATTTTTAATGATCGAGAACAACTTGGAAAATTTGATGCTAAAAGTGACTTAGGATTCTTTCTCGGATATTCTAATAATAGTCGAGCTTACCGTGTTTACGACACAAGTACCTCCACTGTTATAG